TAATAGGAACCTACCAAGATATGACCTAGGGTTGGGTAGATCACTAAAACCTTACTTTTCTGGTTTATCTAAAATGCTCTCGGCCACAAACCCAAACCCAAACCCAAAATTAAAATCGATCAAGACAAAAATCACCTCCACAACATTCAAAATATAAAACAACTCAAAATTTAATCATAAACATCACAAAAACTATAACTAAAATTAAATTAAGACATCTCTATCGGATGATCGGGAATCCCTCGGTGGAGGTAACCTACGGTTGCTAACAATGCTTCCCATGGTCTAAATGAAATGCTAACAATGCTTCCTATGGTCTAAATAAAAGTACGGATCCTAACCGGCGACGCTCTAACCAACTTTAACATTCCCCATAACATTTAAAGAAAATCCAATAAAAAATATGGTACCGGAACGAGGGAACCGTGGGATCCTAACCGGCGACGTTCTAACCAACTTTAACATTCCCCATAACATTTAAAGAACTTCAACCATAGGACCGTCTGATTTGACATCATAACTTAACACCCTAGAAAACTTAAACTCACCACGACGAGGAGCTTGGAGCTAGCATGGTTGGCAACACGACCATCTTCAACAGCAAAACATGTCTTCCCTAGTTAAACCATTCCTTCCTTAGAATTAAACAACAAAGCCATAGAATTTCAAGGTTGTCTGCTTATGCAACATAAATTCTCACCTCATCATTAGGCCATTGTACAGCTTTGATGTACAATTTAAGCCCTAACTCATCTTAGAATTTCGAGATCGTAGTTCGTCACGATCTAAATCCTCACAACTTCCAGGCTATTTGTGTGATCGTTTCACACAAATGTAAGCCCTAAACTAATAAAATTAGTAGGATGAAACACCTAGATAGTTCTCCTCAAAACTGAAGTCAAACAATATGATAGCTTGGGAAGTCACCAAGGTTCTCCCCCAGATCTGTGACATCCCCTAGTTCTTCCTCCTTTGGAGTACAACAAAATGTTCCAAATTTGAATCATTCCCCTTTCACACCTTTACGCCCGATCTCGTTGAAAAGTCTTATCTTTTTGAACTCCTTGAAGATAACATTCTATGATTTTTATCGAGAGTTTTCTTAGGTAACTTCGGTCATTTAAGATGTAATTAACTATAGGGGCTTGCCCTTATAGGAAGTTTGTCCAAACCCAACTTAATATAAAACCTATTTAATTCTTCATAGTAAATAGTGAAAATTGTCGGCAAATAAAACAGGTTTCGCTAACCAAACGAACGTTTTTAGTTTCTTTGATCGAGCCTCATCCTCAAGTCTTGTAAACCAAACGAACGTCATACATTTTTTAGTATCTTTGATCGAGCCTCATCCTCAAGTCTTGTGTTTATCCTTTGGGATAGATACATGGTTTGAGGTATAGTTCTCTTTCATTTATACTATGAAAAATATGGGGTCACTTTGATTTCATATTTTTCTAAACTTAAATATATATGTAAATTAAAACCTCCTTCCGACTGACGGGAATTTGATTCCGGTGACCGAGAGCTTCTTACGGGCAACTCCTCATCCAAAATAGTGCCGACAGTTAACTTATGTTTTAATAATTAAAAAATAGGATTAAAGACATTTAAAAAACATCATAATATCGTACCTTCATGCTATAAACAAAACCAGTAGGTTAGAAGTTTTCACTTTGGGAATTGGCTCGTTCCTTGCTGGATCGATAGATAGACTCTATTTTGTATATTACATGAACAACACATATACTAATGTGATTTGTAGTGCTTTGTAGCATTTGATCAATTTCATATATGCAAAAACCTATCAACTATATAGATTCTCAATTACCCATCTATGTATGTTCAACGAGGCAATCGTTTGTGACACTCTATGAATTTTTTGTCTGCATGGACTTTAGCATTAGCACAGCTTACACCTTGCTAATATTACAATAAGAAAATCAACAAACCTTTGCACTTCGGTATGAGGATGACATACTCATTACAGGAAAAAACATTACATCAATTCAATATCAACAAAATAAATTTAGCTCTTAATTTCAAATCAAATAATTGGGCTGGATATCTCAATTTTATGGCATCAAAGTGACAAGGTAATTGAATATATTTTCTTAGGATTACAATACTAACTTAATAAGATGGCCCAAACTATGGTATTGACAAGATGCAAGCTAGATTCAACTCTTCTACATATTAAATGCCCTCGACCATCTAATAACAAGATAAAACATCTCATTTGTTCTAAATCAGCTATGCCAAAATATACAAAATCCAAACACACATCACTTCTAATCCTTAAGCAACTACTTAAGTATCTATAAGGAATGCTAAACTTTGGCATTAAAATTATGCTAGGAGATCTCGACTTGCAGACTTATGATGAAGTAGATTGAGCTAAAGATTCCGTAAGTCGTTGGTCGACAGTAAGAGTCTCCACTTTTATTGGCACTACGCCCATCTCCTAGAGATAAAAGAAACAACTTACAGTGTCTTTTTCATCAACAAAAGACGAATATATATATATCTTTTGCTATTGCTAGCTCCGACACCCTATAGTTAAGTTGTCTTCTCAAGAAATTTGGAATCAAGCAACAACAAATAATGAATTAAACTATGATAACATTTTGTCTATGATGCTCACAAATAATCCAGCCATCCATGACGTACTAAATATATTGAGATCAATTTTCACTTTATCTGAGATCAATTTCAAACAAGTTTTCTTAAAATTCACTATATCAATACAAAAAGGCAACCCATAAATATTTTTACTAAATTAATGTCCAAAAATGCTTCATTACATTTAGAACCAACTTCATGTTCTTACCAAGAAGCATCATTTGAAGACTTTAATTACCATATTGACATAGTAATTAAACAAATATATCTCAACCATACGATTGTAACAACCTACTTAAGAACAATAAATCCTTACCCTAATTTTTTCTATATATAGGTTGTATGTAACTCTTGATTGTCTAATAAAGATCTTGTGAAATTTTAATCTCATGCCTCATTATAATGTAATAAGTGAAATCAAGAACATGTATAGCAAATTAACTCAACTTATTATAAATTACAGGGACATTTACATAAGTAGCATTTAAGAGTTTGGAATTATATATAGTGCACTTAAAATTTCAAATTGTTGTTTACATCTAAGACAATGTAAAATTTACAAGAATATCGCTCTGTTAAGTAATCCTTCTTCCCTTACTACTTGCTCAATATTCTACAGTCTCGTTGTCTCACATTGTCATTATCTTGTATGAGACACATTCCAAGTGCTCGTTGTCTGACATGAGTTTTTCTTCATGTGATCATCATCCTAGTTTCTTCCACTGTACCATGTGTGATGACTATTCTGTGCCCTTGTTCTATAGTGCCATCATATGTTACTGTGTTTTTTGCTCTCTAAAGCTATATGTAGGTCTCAGTGGGGCATCATTGATGTCTCTAGTTCTCTTTCAGAATTTCTTGGCTCTGTAAGTTTTGAATCTTTTTTATTCTTATGTAATGGAGTTTTTGGTATGTTGTTACGGCCAATGCATGTTGATTTTGATGTGATTATCATTTAATTGATTGTTTATTTTGTTGTTTTTTGATAAATTTTCATGCATTTATCTTTAATTTATTGTTTATTTTGTTGTGTTTACCCAAAACTCTCAATTGCTATGTCCTGTTAATTTCAGATTGATTTTGTTGATTTTACACAAAACTCTTGATTATTGCGTCCGATGTTTCCATGTTTATGCTTATGTTATTCTTGTGAAGCTTCATTGAATTTGCACTAGCATTGAGTAGTATACTTAATTATTTACTAATAGTGTTTAGTTCCCAATTATTTTTCAAATTAATTAAATCTTTGAAAAAATTCTAATAGTCATAATAAATCTTAAATAATTTAATCTTCTAAACATTTTTTAATTAATTAAAAAATATTATAAGTTCAATTTATTGATAAAAATTTAATCATTTAGATTTCTAAATCCACGTCCATGAGAAACATAATACAATATTTTATATCGCATGAGATAGTGCTCAAGGGGAACAAGGACAAATAGACTGAGGGATAGTGCTCACGCCATATGGCGAAGGGTTGCTAGTAGGGGGTCAAGAAGAAAGATCTAACTGAATGCTATAAATATGAATATAAATTTTGAGGTGTTTTATATTTAAATGGTAAGCTTTTGAAGTTCTAAATATGTTGAAATCCCTAAAATAAAATAAATTATTTTCTATAATTTTTTATAACTATTTAATATGAATTATAAAGAAGAATAAATGGTTAGCTTTTGAAGTTCTAAATATGTAGAAATCCCTAAAATAAAATAAACTATTTTCTATAATTTTTTTATAACTATTTAATATGAATTATAAAGAAGAATAAACAACATATAAAATTATGTAATCTTTAAAAAATTTTCGTACATACCACATAATTCTCATGTATTTAGATGTCTAACAACCAAAAATTTTATATTTATATTAAAAATATTTTAATGTTATAAATTATCCATTTAAAATATTTATTTCATTTAAAATAATATAATGGCAGCATTATTTTATGTGATATTAAAATTTTAAATAGTTGGATTGAGCATATGAATATTTAGGGTTTAATTATTCAGATAAATAAGAATTGTGGCATGTATGTAAATGTTTTCCTACTCTTTTGTTAATAATTCATCATTTAGTCAAATTATTAAATAACATAAAGTCATAAACACAACATAATGGGGCAATTACATAAATAGCACAAGAAATTATGTTTTTTTTTTTTTTTCTTGGTGTGATATATTACAGAATGTTAAAGTAAATATAATGATATATTAATAATTATTGTTTTTTTTTTCTTGGTGTGATATATTACAAAATGTTAAAGTAAATATAATGATATATTAATAATTATAGTACTCTATAGCACTCTTCGTTCAATTAAATTTTTTAGGTTAGACATTAACTCCCCGTCGCATTCACTTTAATGAGTTGCTCCTAGCTTGAGCCACAGCGCTAAGAAGGCCCAATGCTCGTTGCCCAGCTCTCTGCCAAGGAGATAAAGCTGTGTGGGCTTACCTTCCCAATCTCTTGTCTCTGAAATCTGTACACAAACAATCTCTCTCTCTCTCTCTCTCTCTCTCTCTCTCTCTCTCCTGGTAAGTGTTAAGTGTGGAAGGAAGAAGGATGCCCAGGCCAGGACCGAGGAGAGTGGAAGGAAGAAGGATGCCCAGGCCAGGACCGAGGCCTTACGAGTGCGTGAGAAGAGTATGGCACAGCGACCGGCATCAGCCCATCAGAGGGTCACTCATCCAAGAGATCTTCAGGTTTTCGTCGTCTTAGCTCTCCACCATGCTTAATTCTACCCCATAATTTCCATTTTCGTCGGATTTAGCTGAGCGAGACGAGAGCTTGATTCAGGGTTTTTGATTCCTGAGGAATTTTAAGGAAATGGATTTTGTGATTTTTTCTTAAGGTTGGCGAATGAGGTGCACTGCAACGCCACCAGGAAGAACAAGGAATGGCAGGAGAAGCTCCCTTTTGTAGTTTTAAAGGCCGAGGAGATCATGTACTCCAAAGCTAACTCGGAGGTTTGTTTCAGTTATACAAATTCAGTGGTCTGGCAAATGATGGCTATTTTTATTTTATTTTTATTTATTACTTGTTCACCATTAGCTCCTGATAGATTTATTTTTCCGGAGATTTTTTCTTTATTTTGCAGGCAGAGTACATGGATTTGAAGACTCTGTGGGACAGAGCTAATGATGCCATTGACACCATAATTCGCAAGGATGATGCCAATGAGAGTGGAGATCTTCTTCAGCCCTGCATTGAAGGTATTTTTCACGCTTGTTCTTATAGAAATGGGAAAGCCACTTCCTTCAGGAATCAATGAGAGTATTCTATGAAACATTTTTAGGTTAAACTTATAAACAAACTTGCTTCATTTTTCAAATATGCTTTCAAGGCCCTTTTGGTTGTGCATTTAATTTACTCTTCAGCCTACAGGGTAGGTGCTGGTTTCGGTGATTGAAACTGAACTAATTTTCTGTAAATTTGATTTGAAACTTGTTTTTAGGGCTCATTTGATAGCTTGAATTTAGATATTATGTTTTGAAATTTGGTGAGTTTTGTGGACTTCATCATTGGGTTGGATGTAATTAGGAATTTATGTAAGTGGTGATAATTTTTAAAAAAAAAATACTGAAAACAAAGGAAAGTTATTATGAGTGTTTTCAAATTAACTTAACTTATTAAAAAAATTTTAAACATACAAATATTAAGCTAAATAAATATATTTTATAAATAAAATCTTAATTGATTCTTGGCAAGCTCTAAAAAAGTTAATGTGTTGATAAACAATCAAACGGCCTCTTTAAGTTGCTTGTTCAGCTAGTTTTACTTTTGGGTAAAGTTGGAGAGTGCTATTTTTAGTTTTGGATAACTTATGATGTTCTTTTTTATTTATCATTGGGTCCATTTGACTGCTTAAAGCTAGAAATCATGTTTTGAAAAGAAGCGAGATTTATCATTTCCATCATTTGATTGGATGTAGTTAGAAGTTAATATTGCTTTTAAGCTTTGCATGGCCCCCTAAGACCCCTTTACATGGATCAAAATCCTTTCCATTTACATGGTAATTAGAGGAGTACTTTACAAAATTCGAACCATTCAATTATCTTTTTATGCTTTCAAGTTTGATTTGTAACTTTATCTCTTCAATTACTATAGTAATTGGAAATGGTCCAAATCCCCTTTGAACATAATGATATTTGTTTTTTTGGGGCTTTTACATACATGCTACACAATTCCTATGTATTTATGTATTAAACACCTAACCTTTACTTTTTTATATCTATACCAGCCAAATTTTTCTTATTACATCAAGAATATCATTATTTTTAGTTTTAAAAAGTGAAATATGCCTTTTCTTGCATAGGTAAGTTGGCATATATGTAAAAATTTAACTTTAGGTGTTAGATATATAAATGCATAAAAATTGAGTGTTATGCATGTAAATCGAAATTTTGTTTTTCATTTTGGCTCAAGCAAAAAACTGAAAATGATGGTATCATTCTTGAGGAATGTATTCTGCCGACAAGAGATCAACTGATCCTTTAGGATGATATGATCTTTGCCTCTTTTTTTCAATTTAGCTGGTTATTTATTTAAAAATACGATTTTTATTTCCTTATTCATCTTTCTTACCAGTCACACGTAAACACGAAAAACTGAAAAGGTTGAGCATATTACACAATTTCCTTTGTTCATGCCTTCTCTCATGCTTTCTTTTCTCGATTCAGCTGCTCTCAATCTGGGCTGCATTCCTCGGAGAGCATCGAGGAGCCAGCGGCACAGCAATCCAGTCTCTTATCTGAGCCCCAACTCGAAAGAACTAACCGATGTCTCTCAAAAGCCTCAAGACGACAGCAAAACTAATCAACTTTGTTCAAAAAGTATGTTACCACCACTCATGCCAGGGCAGTCCAGCAATCTCCATGGCTCTGCAACTCAAGTCAGATCAAAGAACTCAGCTGCAGGGCCGGAGATTCAGTTTATGCCATCTACCGCTTCGAAAGGCCAAAACCCCTTCTTGGAAATTCCAAATAAGGACTTAGCATGCAAAGCTAGAGGCTTTCCCGTCCCAGTGGATTTGGGTTTTGTATACCCTCTGTATTATGGAGATGGACATCATTCTCTCCCCACACTTCAGTCACAGCCACATGTGAACCCTCAGGAACTTAGAGAAACGAAGCCTTCTGTTCAATGTAATGGGATGGCCTTCATTATCCGCAACATTTCAGAAGGTTTAGATGGAATCGCTGATTGTGACAAGACGAGCAAGCTTGCACCGGGCACTGAGTGCGACCTTTCGTTGCGCCTCGGCCTACCTTCACCCCCAAGCTCAGATTTCGAGAGTGCCTGGGCCCGTGAAGTTGAGGATGTGGGATCAAGTAGCTCTTGCGATGGAGCCAAATCCTGGGGCGCACTTCGGAATGTAGCTGGGGCCATGAACATTGAAAGATCACTTTCGTCAGCGAGAGATAAGTGGTTTGATTTCTTCTCGGTGGAGAATGTCGACGAACACTACGAGTCCTGCACAAGTAAGCAGAGCTCACGGGGTGATTGTGCATTTACGTGAATGCCTATGGTAAAAATGAATAGTTTTATACTTCTGGTGCGTTAACTGATGATGGCTTCAGCTGGAAGCCGTAAGGATCAGCGATTTTAGAACTGTTTCGTCGCCTGCTTGGGTAAAACTTAGAGCTGATTTTTTTCTTTCTAGAGAAAGGTATTAAAATGGCACCCTGACTATTTGTAGGGGTTCATTTCATTCCCAAGAGTTTATAAAAGTGCTAGTTTGGACTCTTTTAATTGGGGCTAAAGTTGCACTCCCTATAGAAAATGTCAGCTGGTATTAAAAGTCTAAGGATTAAATCCAACACTTTTATAGACTATGGGACTAAAATAACCTCATGTGTAAATAGTTAGGAGATTATTTTGACACTTCACTCATTTTGTCTATAATGTCTTTGTAACTCTCTTTCTTGTTGTATTGTGGTTTAAGTTTGGGGAAGAGCAGTTATTATGCGGAAGTGTAGCTGCTTAGTATTTTTGTTGGCTGCTTGTAGCATATGAACTTTTTAAAAAAATCTACTGAAATATTAGCTATCAGAAGTTTAGGGTGTGGAAGCCGGTTTTGAAAGAATCGTCTTGAAAAAATAGTATTTCAAATAGTTTTAACTGCTGTTTTGAAGAACTTGGAGAAATGGTTTATAAAATTATATTTGCGCTCAAATTTGATGAGGATTTAATTTTTCTCATTTTCTCTTTGAAGGATGAAAGAGATGATGGAGAGACAGATATGGATCCCAAGCATCGGGGGGTTTTGTAATAATGTCTTATTTTCAACTCAATTATTGGCTTCTACATCGCCTTTAGATATATATATATATACACGTTTTACCCGCTGCTGTCTAGCAGCATGACCAACATTTTATCAAGTGCTGTAAAAGTGCAATTTGTATGGGATCTTATGCGCTGTATCAAATGTGGGGGTGAATTTACATACATATCACATAATTCTTATGTATTTCTATTGCTATCACCCAGACTTGAATATGTACACTTATAACCTTTGGTGGCAGACACCTTTGCATGAATGGTGTTTTTCAGTTTTAAAAAGATCGTGTTGGTGCTAATTTAACTGGCAAGCATGTAAATATGAAGGTTTAGATTTATGTAAATAGATAAGAAATTTTCGACTGTTTCTCACGCTTAGTAATCAAATTCTTTTATCATATTTTAAAGTACATGAGTTTAATATTAAAAATTATCTTTTTCTTTTAATGACATGTTTTAAGATAATTAGGTACAGATGTTAAAATAATAATGTTTTGAAGATGTAAATATATAAGAAATTTTCGACTGTTTCTCACGCTTAGCATTCAAATTCTTTTATCATATTTTAATGTACATGAGTTTAATATTAAAAATTATCTTTTTCTTTTAATGACATGTTTTAAGATAATTAGGTACAGATGTTAAAATAATAATGTTTTGAAGAGTTTTATAAAAGAAAAGACAAATCTCGTTTTGAAATATGTGGGTACTCCAAATAAGGATTTTTTTGAAAAAGAATATATTTTTTTAAATCTTCAACAGTTTCAATTCATTACCTCCCAAATACCTATGTTATACGAAGCGAACACGACCTGATGCGGACATGGGATGTCTTTTATTAAAAATATAAGACACGGATACACATTATAATAAATATTTTTACTATATATTTTAAATCAATAAAATATTAAGAATAGTAATAAAAAATAAATAAATTTAATAACACTTAACTTTTAACAGCTAACAGCTCGTTCGACATCATTTTTGTTTCCTGTTTTAGTTGACATAATCTTTATAATTTTTTTAAATGTTTGGAAATAAATTAAATTGTATTTAAAAATAATCAAAATGCATAGAGGTGAGCATGTTTTAATTTGTTTTGCATCAATATTCAACTCATTCGGATCAACTATTCATTAAAAGAATTAAGATGATCATTGGCCTCTTTCGCACCGAATTCTTACGTATTTATATATCTAACACTGAAGTTTTGATTTTCCTTTTATGCCACCCAAATCCTTCATATCATACCTAATGCACCGCTTTTAAAATTTTAAAAAGCAAAGTACACATTTTCATGTATTTGTAATGAGGCATACATGTAAAAATTGATATTTAGTTGTTAGATATGTAAATACATAAAAATTGATTGATATGTATTTAAATCTCTTAAATTTTAAATAGAAATATAAAGTTTTTTTTTCTAGTCATAAAAATATTTTTTGAAAAATTTTAATTCATCTTTCTAAAACGTGTCATCTTTTTTTAAATATTATTCAAACCAAATATTTCTATGTCGAGGCTAACGCATGCCATGTCCATGTTTGATACATGTCTGGCACTACATGACTCCTTAATTAGAAGTATTGTGCATCATAGTTGTCGACTCACACTCCCTACGAGACTGCAATATATATATATATATACCAACCTCGCCCCTTAATGTGCCTAAACACTTGAGTGCCAAACTTCTTATGGCGCATTGCCGAAGATGTATTCGAAACCCGACTTGAGGGGTCTTACAACACACTTGCGTGCATATTAAATGTAAAATTCAAAATCAAATGTGCGATTGACAAAAAAAAATTCGATCATAATCACAAAGTGGCTTACAAAATAATTTAAAATTATTTTTACAAGTGTTAGACAAAGCCGAGAGCGATTACACATTTGATAGCCTACCAATTTCTTGCTCATTCTCGTCTTCATCTTCCTCCAAATTAGATAACAGCGTGGAAAACTTTTTTCATATTGATCCACTCAGGTGTCAGTAGTTGAACCTTCGCAAGTTAGGTAACACCAAGGAAGACCCCATCTTTTAAATGCAAGAAGAGTCACCTTAGCGGAATGGGATGAGAGCACAGCAAAAAAACACATTAAACATTTTCATCCCCATCATTTGATCTTTCACGGTTCCGTTCTCTTTATAAGTAGCCAAAAACATATCCGACTACCTGAGCACCTCTTCCTCAGCTTTCTGTTGCCTCCCTTCAATCACAACTAACTTCTCCTCAATCCCCAGTCAATCCTATTGCTCTTGGCAAAGAACTGTCAACTAGAGATGGGAAGTTTCTCAGCCCATTCGATTATACCTATCAATTATGTGGAACAAGGTTGACAAGTGTAGGGCCTTTTCAAAGCTAAGAGACTGGATCACGTCAAAAATCATAGAGGGGTAGAGAGCAAGAGAATAATAATTACAATCCTTATGGAAGTCTATCAACCCAAACTGACTGTCTAAGATCATTCTCACATTTTTTGTTTTAATTTGCATCGGAATCCACTTCAATGGGGCACTTTTATATATGTTTTATCTAGATGAGATCAAAGGAAACTTACTCAAGTTGGTAACCAAGACTTTCCCCCTGCGGTGATGCTTCATGTTTGATTGAGTTAAACTATTTGTGCTCTACAGAGTGTTCCAATGACAGTTGACACGCATTAAAATATGTTATTTATATATACACTTTATACTCATTTTTAAGGATATTGCACTTTAATTAAAGGTATTTTGTATGTTTTTAATTTCATGTACAAAAGATAGAATTTAACAGCAGAGGAGTAAAATAGGGTCAAATGGAGCAAATGAGCATAAAGTGACCTGACGTCTAGGCCCCAGGATCTGGCTCCTAGGCTTCAGGTAGTTAAAATAGGTTTCTAGAAGGTTGGCTCCTAGGCACCACGGTTCGGTGCTTAGGCACCAAAAACGATTTGGACTTTTTGTGCAATGAATTTGGATGAATTTTGAAGGGGTGCTTGAAGTGACTCTTTGTGATTTTAAGAGCTTTATTTAAAGAAAAGATTGGTTGTTCGAAAAGGGGGTCTTTGGAGGACTTGGTTGGTGGTGAAGATTTTTAGGAGGGGCATCTTGTATGTGTATGTTGTGTGAGTTGTGAGAGTCTTTTTGTGTGTATAAGAACAGTAGAAAGTCATCAAAGGAACTTCAAAGAATTTGTTTGGGGAGAAGTCTCAGATAAGTAATTTATATTTTTTTTTAAAGTTTTTCTTTCTGTGAAATCTTGGATTTTAATCTAAATCATGTTTTGTTATGTTATCCCCATTAAGTCTGAGTTGTTTCATTTATTTTTCTCCTTGTAATAAGAATTAATTGTGTGTAGGATTTAAATTATTTAAGATTTCTCTTATTCCATACTTATGATAATTCCTGACTTCATACTTCATTTACATCTTCAATCTGACCAATTAGAATGTTAAAACTTGTTGTGAATCCATAATGACTCGGGAGGGCTATGTATTCCTCAACTAGTAAAAATCACTCGTTGGTTAGAAGGTAATACATGGGTTAGTGCAAATAGATAAGGAGATAAGTTTTGATGGGTGTAAATTGGTGATTCTAAGGTGATGAGATAGAATCATAACCAATTTGATCTAGTGTTTGGAACCTAAGGAACAAGGGAACAGTTGGTAATGTAAAGGTGAGGGGCTAGAAACTATCCAACATAACTTGAGATTTAGGAACATAACTTTAAATTAGCCAATATTTTTTATGCACTCATAAGAGTGTAAAGAATAAGTATGCTCCTATTTGGCGTCAAAATACATTTTAACTTTTAAAAATTTTATTCCTATACTGATTATGACCTCTTTGCAAGGAGAAAAAAACTTTAACATAATTTAAACTCTTCTTCATAAAACTAGTTTGGAAAATATGCATTTTCTCTTAGCTTTGAAATATAATTATCAGGAATTTTGTAACTTTGTTTTACACCTCAACTTGTAACCATATTTCTTAAATAATTGTTTGGAGCTAAAGTAAAGTTTTCCTAAGTCATAAAAAGGGTATTGGATAAAAAGTGTTTCATCTTCTCTGTGGGATCGATACTGGGGTTTTAAAAGAAAATCCTATATTACTTGAAATGATACGTATACTTGTTTAGTACCCCTAGTGTATAAAATATTAATCAAATTCTAATTTTTATAACATATCTATTGTGCACACTAACCACTAAAATATATTGGGTCAAGTTTTTTACCATTTTACCATCTTTTGGAAACTAAAAAACTAAATAGTTGCAGGTCGGCATCAAGTTTTTTGCACCGTTGCCGGGGAATGAAGGAAATAAATGGAACTTTTTAGCTTAGACATTTTATTTGAACTGCAGATTTATTTTAGGAGAATTGTTGTGAAGTCTATTTTTTTCCTTATAAGCACTTTTTTATTTCATTAAAATATATAAAATTGAAAAAAAAAATTAAAAACCCTAAAAAAAATTGAAAAATAAAAATTAATTTTTTTAGTTTTAAGTGTTTTATTTTATTTTAATTTCTAAACTTTTACTTTTGCATGTGTAGTTCAGGATCTGAAGCTTTAGTACCTTACGATTTTGAGTTAGAACAAACCAGAAGAAAAATCAGAAAACAAAAAAACCTTTATAATTTCTAAGAAATTGGGAACACATTTCATAATAATATTAATAATCAAACCATTTAAAATGAACATCATCTAAGACCTTTGAGGGACTTTGCAAACCCTACATACAAACCCCCTGCTGTAACAGCCAACTCATTTGAATTAAACCCACTATAATTCAAATGGTACAAAATAATCTGTTTGGTGGAACACCATCTGAACAACCAAACATACACCTTGCTAGTTTTCTAGAACTATGTGCTATATTTAAGTATGATGGTGTATCAAACGACGCTATTAGACTTATATTTTTTTCTTATTCCTTAAGGGATAAAGCTAAGAAGCGGTTAAACTCATTAGCATTGTATCTATCAGAACAAAGACTTAGCACATAAAATCTTGGCTAAGTATTTTCCAACTTAAGAAATTGCTAATATTGGAATTGATATTACCTCTTTTACTCAGTTTGAAGCTGACTCCATATATGAAGCCTATGAACCGTTTAAAGAAATCTTTGGGAAGTGTCCACATCATTCTTTGCCAGACTGATTAATTATTCAAACATTTTATAATGTGTTAGTGACGTAACCCACAATTATGCAACAATTTAGCTTCCAAATGATGGCAAAAAACTTGACCCAATTTATATTTAGCGGCTAGTGTATAATA